GAGATGAAAGGCTATACAATGTGTTCAACATAATGACTTTGTTCGACTTTCAATCACAGTGGTGAAATGTTTTAAAAAAAATTAACAGGGTCTTTTAAATGAATTTTAATCATAAATACTGATATTTTGCCTGTAGCTTTATTTTAGATCACTTTTAAGGTTACAAGTGTGAGTTTTATACCAGGTGAGCGATGCAGGCCCATTGGGCCTCTTGTTTATTTTTTATTTTTGAGGCGGGTTCATTTACCATATTATAAAAAATATCAAACATAGTTTTAGGTCTTTTAAATAATAATATGGGATTTAAATTGGGTTTTGACACCTGCTTGTGAAGTAGAGAGGGTATACATATAGTTGCCTTGTTTGTTCATCCATCAATTTGTTTGCACCTGGTGGAAAAGTCATCCCATGGAGTGCGTTTGAATGAGATAAAATTGTAAGGGTCAGAAGTAAAAACTAGGAAAGGTCGGGGGATAGCTGAAGCATGCATATTTGTTTTGGGCCTTAGAATGAAGTTAACACAGAGAGCTTAGTCTTTAGATTGAATGTCTTACAGGGGGGCATAAAGAATTAAGGTAAATGTTGGTCTAATAAGTAAAAGAGGACCTAGGCGTAAGAAAGAAGTTTATAGGGCCTACTTACGTTTTATGTTAAAATTCACATGACCTATCTTGCAGTGGGTTTTTTTATTTATTTTTTTTAAATTCAAGTTGAGAAGGAATAGTACAAGAGATATACATGTACGTAGAATGTACTTTTTTAAACACAAACAACCTTTACTTATTTTATAGGCTTTCAAAGTTTGATACCTCTAAACATTTATTTCCATGAATTTTCCTCTTTACAATTTGAAATTGAGTATATCTACCGCATGTCCTGTGATCGTTATTTTGTAGACTCAAGCTTGCCTTACACATTACCAAGGGGAGACTACCCCCACCCAGAAAGTCCTCTTTGTGTCACGAAGATCAGAAACTGTACCTGACATTGTACAGTAAATATGGTGGTCATTCTCCAGCCGACCCAACAGAGGAGGAGATCACAGAACTCAACAAACTTAAGGTAATGTACTTCACAGTGTAACGAAGTGGCCATGTTTATGTAGCAGAACTGAACTAGGTCAATCATCGGCGAACAGGTAGCTCAGTTGGTAGAGCGTCCGTCTAGAGTTCGGAGGGTCCCGGGTTTCTGTCTTTTTATTTGTTCCAACTAGATTTGGTGCCTGTATTCTTAACCCTTGTTCAGATACCTGAATCTGGGTTGTGAATAAGTTGTGTCATCTGGGGCAAAGACTTCAAACAAGGAGGGATGAATGTAGCGGAACTGGACTGGGTCAATGGGAAGCTTAATTGGTAGAGCGTCCATCTAGAGTTTGGATGGTCCTGGGTTGGAACGCTAGTCTGGCCCTGCATTGTTCTACCTATTACATTTATATTAGGTGGAAGTGGGTAATACAAGAATCAGATTATATGTCTGTTTTACTGTCTGTCCATCTATATGTAAATGCTGTTATGTCCCGACTACTTTCTACAATAATAATTATAAAGCGATAAAATAATTCAATATCCATTTTGTTTAAATTGGTCTGCATTTGAAATTCAAAATATTCTTAGTTTGGCTAGAGGACCAAGAATGGAAAGGCCGAGGATGTTAACATCTAAGAATTCGCTGAGTATTGGTGGAATAAACGACAGACTGTAACCATTATATTCCTCAGTTGACTGACATGTTGAGTTATACCTGGTCTCATTAAGGTGTATTTGTTTTAAAATAATTCATATTTGGAGTGATTTTCACAGCCACTTAATGGTGATACATGCTACTAGCTAAGGTTTTTTTTGCGTTTTTAGCTCACCTGACCTGGAGGGATTTAAACCAAATGCGGTCTGAAGCATGCTTATGGGGGGAAAATTCAATATGTTTAATTTATATAAAAAGGTGCATGTGAGGCTCAGTAGGGTAAATAGAGGAAAATTGGAAATCTTTCTCCTTTTTTTTTTATAAATGAAGGGATTTTCATCAACTTCTTCAAGAGCATTTTTGGGAAAAGAACACATCATTCCCCCCCTAATTAAAAATAGCATTACCGTATGACTGGTTATTTATGCAGGCTTAAATTAGGTGAGCTTATGCCATACCGTGGCGTCCATCCGTCCGTCGTCCGTCCATCAACAATTTCTTTAAACGACTTCTTCTTCTTAACCACTTATTGGAATTTAACTAAATTTGACTGGAAGCATCCCTAGGTTGTGGGGATTCAAAATTGTACAAATGATGGGGCTGACCCCCCAGGGGGCTGAGGGGCGGGGCAATAAGGGGGCAATTTGGCTACATTGCTTTAAGCGACATCTTCTCTGGAACTAAGAGATGGATATCAACCATATTTAAATGGAAGCATCCCTAGGTGGTGTGGATTCAAAATTGTACAAATGGTTGGGCTGACCCCCCAGGGGGCTGAGGGGCGGGGCCAAAAGGGGGCATTTTGACTATATTACTACAAACGACTTCTTCTGTAGAAGTATGCACTGGATATCAATCATATTTAATCAAAAGCATTCATGGGAGGCACAGATTCAAAATTGTACAAATGGTGGGGCTGATCCCCGTGGGGGCTGAGGGGCGGGGCCAAAAAGGGTTATTTAGCTATATTGCTTTAAGCGACTTCTTCTCTGGAACTAAGAGATAGATATCAACCATATTTGACTGGAAGCATCCCTAGGTGGTGGGGATTCAAAATTGTACAAATGGTGGGGCTNAGAGGAATGCACATTTGCTTCCAGGATGGCCCTAGGGTCTGGCCCCACCCTTGGAGACTTAACCCCTGGGTCATAACTTTGAAACGGTTAAGATCCCCACCCCAAAACTAAATATACAATTGTTGGGCATAAAGAGACGAATGCAGTCATGATATTAGAATTGACCCAAGGGTTTGCCCCACCCTTGCAGACATAACCCCTGGGTCATAACTTTGAAACGGTTGAGATCCCCACCGCAAAACTTAATATACAAATGCTGAGCAAAAAGAGACAAATGCAGTCATGATATTAGAATTGATCCTGGGGTCTTGCCACAACCCTAGGAACCTAGTTTCTGAGTCACAGTTTGGAAACAGTTGAGATCCCCACCCCATAACCTTACATAAAATTGCTGGGCATAAAAAATCAAATACAGATATGCTACAAGGATTGGCCTTGAGATCTGGCATATTCCGTTGGATCTCATTTGGAGAATATTTTGCCATGATTACTTAGATATCCAGGTGAGCGATACAGGCCCTCTGGGCCTCTTGTTACACTTGTCATATTATTCTGCGATTAAGTTATTGCTCCGTGAAATCACAAAAGTAACATCCCCTCGGAACTGTCCTGCTATATGGTATATGGTATGTTTTTGTTCTCTGTAGGTGCTGCAGGCTAAAGTAACATCCCCACAGAACTGTCCTGCTATATGGTATATGGTATGTTTTTGTTCTCTGTAGGTGCTGCAGGCTAAAGTAACATCCCCTCGGAACTGTCCTGCTATATGGTGTATGGTATGTTTTTGTTCTCTGTAGGTGCTGCAGGCTAAAGTAACATCCCCGCGGAACTGTCCTGCTATATGGTATGTTTTTGTTCTCTGTAGGTGCTGCAGGCCGTGGTGAAGAAGGAACAGGAAGAATACCACCAATACTCCCTGTCACTGGCCACAGCTCTACAGGTTGAATATCACTACATGGACGCTTCAGCTAGGAAGTACATGGAGGTACGGGACACGACCCATACAAAGGGTCTCAGTCATGTCTTAGCTCGGATCACAAACTCTACACTTTATATATATACTTTCAATTTAACAAAAGAAATAGAAATACAACATGGTGCAGATCACCATAATTATATAATTAATTATTGTGAAGATTTCCCAGAGGGGCCTAGTCTTAAGAATGAAGTTGACAGGAGATTAGTCTTGAAATTAAAGGTAACACAGGGGCCTAGTCTTTGGAATGAAGTTAACAGGTACCACAGGGGCCTAGTCTTCAGAATGAAGTTAACAAAAATTAATAAGTCTTGAAATTGAAGGTAACACCGGGACCTAGTCTTCAGAATGAAGTTTTTACAGGTAGCACAAGGACCTAGTCTTCAGAATGAAGTTTTTACAGGTAGCACAGGGACCTAGTCTTTAGAATGAAGTTTACAGGTAACACAGTGGCCTAGTCATTAGAATAAAGTTCACAGGTAGCACAGAGACCTAGTCTTTAGAATGAAGTTAACTGGTAATACAGGGACCTAGTCTTTAGAATGAAGTTTACAGGTAACACAGTAGCCTAGTCAATAGAATGAAGTTCACAGGTAACACAGTGACCTAGTCTTCAGAATGAAGTTTTTACAGGTAACACATGGACCTAGTCTTTAGAATGAAGTTTTTACAGGTAACACCGGGACCTAGTCTTCAGAATGAAGTTTTTACAGGTAACACAGGGACCTAGTCTTCAGAATGAAGTTTTTACAGGTAACACATGGACCTAGTCTTCAGAATGAAGTTTTTACAGGTAACACAGGGACCTAGTCTTCAGAATAAAGTTTTTACAGGTAACACATGGACCTAGTCTTCAGAATGAAGGTTTTACAGGTAACACAGGGACCTAGTCTTTAGAATGAAGTTAACGGGTCACACAGGGACCTAGTCTTTAGAATGAAGTTAACTGGTAACACAGGGACCTAGTCTTTAGAATGAAGTTTTTACAGGTAACACAAGGACCTAGTCTTCAGAATTAAGTTTTTACAGGAAACACAGGGACCTAGTCTTCAGAATAAAGTTTTTACAGGTAACACATGGACCTAGTCTTCTGAATGAAGTTTTTACAGGTAACACAGGGACCTAGTCTACAGAATTAAGTTTTTACAGGTAACACAGGGACCTAGTCTTCAGAATTAAGTTTTTACAGGTAACACCGGGCCCTAGTCTTCAGAATTAAGTTTTTACAGGTAACACCGGGCCCTAGTCTTCAGAATTAAGTTTTTACAGGTAACACAGGGACCTAGTCTTCAGAATGAAGTTTTTACAGGTATCACAGGGACCTAGTCTTTAGAATGAAGTTTTTACAGGTAACACCTGGACCTATACTTTAGAATGAAGTTTTTACAGGTAACACCGGGACCTATACTTTAGAATGAAGTTTTTACAGGTAACACAGGGACCTAGTCTTTAGAATGACGTTTTTACAGGTAACACAGGGACCTAGTCTTCAGAATGACGTTTTTACAGGTAACACAGGGACCTAGTCTTCAGAATGAAGTTTTTACAGTTAATACAGGGACCTAGTCTTTAGAATGAAGTTTTTACAGGTAACACCGGGACCTATACTTTAGAATGAAGTTTTTACAGGTAACACAGGGACCTAGTCCTCAGAATGAAGTTTTTACAGGTAACACCGGGACCTAGTCTTCAGAATGAAGTTTTTACAGGTAACACATGGACCTAGTCTTCAGAATGAAGTTTTTACAGTTAACACAGGGACCTAGTCTTTAGAATGAAGTTTTTACAGTTAATACAGGGACCTAGTCTTCAGAATGAAGTTGACGGGTCACTCAGGGACCTAGTCTTTAGAATGAAGTTTACAGGTAACACAGGGACCTAGTCTTTAGAATGAAGTTGACGGGTCACACAGGGACCTAGTCTTTAGAATGAAGTTAACTGGTAACACAGGGACCTAGTTTTTAGAATGAAGTTTTTACAGGTAACGCAAGGACCTAGTCTTCAGAATGAAGTTTTTACAGGTAACACAGGGACCTAGTCTTCAGAATGAAGTTTTTACAGGTATCACAGGGACCTAGTCTTTAGAATGAAGTTTTTACAGGTAACACCGGGACCTATACTTTAGAATGAAGTTTTTACAGGTAACACCTGGACCTATACTTTAGAATGAAGTTTTTACAGGTAACACAAGGACCTAGTCTTCAGAATGAAGTTTTTACAGGTAACACAGGGACCTAGTCTTTAGAATGAAGTTTTTACAGGTAACACCGGGACCTAGTCTTCAGAATGAAGTTTTTACAGGTATCACAGGGACCTATACTTTAGAATGAAGTGTTTACAGGTAACACCGGGACCTATACTTTAGAATGAAGTTTTTACAGGTAACACAGGGACCTAGTCTTCAGAATGAAGTTTTTACAGGTATCACAGGGACTCAGAATGAAGTTTTTACAGGTAACACCGGGACCTATACTTTAGAATGAAGTTTTTACAGGTAACGCAAGGACCTAGTCTTCAGAATGAAGTTTTTACAGGTATCACAGGGACCTAGTCTTCAGAATGAAGTTTTTTCAGGTAACACAGGGACCTAGTATTTAGAATGAAGTTTTTACAGGTAACACAGGGACCTAGTCTTTAGAATGAAGTTGACGGGTCACACAGTGGCATAGTCAATAGAATGAAGTTCACAGGTAACACAGGGACCTAGTCTTTAGAATGAAGTTATCTGAGAGCCTGATCTTTATTTATCTTTATAATTTTCTGAAACCTGTTCTTATTTTCAGGCCCGACTAACGGCTCGACGTCGGGAAGTGGAGATGTACCCTAGTCATTACAACATTGTGAGCAGCTTCTCCCTAAAGGGCGCTGGACAAGTTTCCCCCCTGACTTACATCAAACCTCTCCTCCAGCTGGTATGTATATAATCTGTACCATAGTTCAAGTTTTCAAAACGGTTGTGACACATTTCAATTTCATAGAGTTCAAATTTGTTAGCTCACCTGTATATGAAGGACCATGGTGCACTGTCTTTTGTCAGTCTGTCAGTCGTCCATCAACGTTTGAAATTTAAACCGTTCTTCCTCTGAATAATTTGATCAGATTTCAACCATATTTTGTATGTTGCATCCTTGGGACTAGAGAATAAAATTTTATTTCAGGGAAAGGTGACCCCTTAAGGGCAGTGACAATACGGAGAAATTGGTGAATTTAAGCATTTAAAAGACTACTTTTACTTATGTCATCTTGTTATACTTACCTCCAAATGACCTAAATGACCTATGGATTAATTTTCCCTAAAACCGAAATGGCTTAGTGTTTAAGTACCAATTCTTAAAGGAAAGGAAGCCAGTTGAATAAACAGAAAATCTGCACATGCCCATCAGTTCTTCTCATGCCACCCATGCAGCAGTATCACTATTTCTATGGGTCAATTAACCCCAAAAGCCATGCCTGAAATGCTGAATATCTGGCCACTAGCATGCTGGGAGGAGATGCTAAAATGTATCCCATTGAAAGACTTTGACACACTTTCAAGGTCACAGGGGTCCAATCCTCTTTTTAGCCTCAGAATATGTCACAACGATCAAAGGCATCCAGTTAAGTTTTGACTGGATTTGTGTTTTGAAATACTGACCAATTACCAGGCAGATAACTGTTCTACGTACTGTATCACAGGAAATGTCCGTGGGGACTTTCCTTCGTGGTGTCAAGCCATTCAGATCGTTTCGTGGTACAAAGTTTCGTGGATATCGTCTATTAACAAACAGTTGACACATGTATCATTCCAATTTGTTGTATTTATTTTCGTGGTGCAATAGCTCAAAAACCATGGATATTTATACACAACAAACATTTCATGTTATGCAGAAGATTATTGTAAATGTTTAAATTCATGCGGCTAATAATTCGGGACGATCAGAACTACTTCACGGGGATTCAATTTCATGCAAAATTTCCAGGTAAAAATATTGCATTCACAAGGGTATTTCTGTCTTTCGGTGATCTTGATGGCACTAATTTATAAGTGTTTTATCAAAATAACTTAAAAATACTCTTTGGATTAAAAACAGATGGATTGAAAGGAATATTTACTTACGGTAAGTATATTTACTATGGTTAGAATAAACCGTAGCATAAATTTCTTTGAAATATTAACATCCTGATCTGATATTGTTTGCAGGGTTCTGTACCGAAAATGATCATTCCCACAGTCACATACGATGGAGGACATCAACTTACCATAGATACTGCAGCTGTCAGGCAGGAAAATCCCATTAGGTCTAGCAAAGGAAAGGAGGCCAACTGGAACCACGAGGTCATTGTTGTTGTTTTAACTATTGGTTTTCAGAATGATCCGATTGGTCAATTCCTGGTCGTTTATACCTTATAGTGTTTTGTGTAGCAGTAGCACATGTTCGCATTAATGTAATTAACCAAAATATGTCTTAAAACAATATAATGGAATGAGGGGGTTCTATTGATCCATGCAAATGGAGGTTATCACATATTGTGTTATGGTAGGGGACAGGAGTGTTGTCAGCTTTATTTGGGTGTTTGAATAATAGTTTTGATAATATAGTTCTTGAATTTGTAATTGATTCATTACAAAAAAGAAATGATTTTACTTTAGTTTTTTTACCAATTACTGAAGCTCCAGGAAATTCAGATAGCAGAATTAAATCTGAAATGAAACAAAAGTTTAATTTAAACATTGAGAAAGCTCTAAATATGTTTGTATAAAAGGCCTGAAAATTGAAAAATGAACAAATTTGATGTTACAGGCATGCAGTATGGATGAGAATGCTGAGGTTATGGCGGTCCAACACCGGGCTCACATAGTGATATCTCCGGGGGCCCTGATGTGTCTGGTAGATAACCACGCTCCTGATTACAGTAGGGGCTGGGAACTGCCCTTTTCCGTTAAGGAGTATGATGTTATAGGTGGGTTATCTCCCCTTTTAATGATAAAATTTATATTCATATCTGCATATTGAGAGTTTATTTAAGGAAACTTGTCTAGACCAAACATGAAAATTTCTGTTCAGAATACAAAAGTAAATCAGGTAAATCACAGACGTACAATTTACATTTAAATGTATAGAGTGGGGCCTAGTTGATGATCTGTATTATTCCTTAATATTTGATTTGACGTTTGTTTTTTAATACAGATCTGTTGATATCTGAAATTAAATTTCGTGTACCCAGTACCTTCTGTTGTTCTGATTTTGAGGACTCAGACTTTTTTTTGGCTGGGGCTCGACAGTTTCTTCCTTATTTTGCAATCTGTCAATTCATTCACCATAAATCTTGTTCCATCGTTCAGCCAGAGTGTTTAGGGAGATATATAACTCTCTCTGTTAAGAACAGTCCCTGGCCAGTAACCTATATGTTTCAAAATCCAGTCACATTTAAGCTTTGGTTAATAAGGCTCTAGTACAACAATAAAATGCTTGTTATTTTTAGAAACAATATATATATATATATATACCAATTCTTGCTTTGAGCTCATTAAACAAAATCATGCAAAAAGATTATAAAAAAATTTATGGAGATGGAAAAAAAGGCCAAAATTAAAATGTTGATGTTCAGTTAACTAACCTTTCATATGCTTGATTTTTTTCAAGTATTTATTAGTCCACTACCGGTGCAACCGGGGGGACTATAGGTTTTGTCTGTGTCCGTCCGTCGTCCATCCGTTATACCTTTGGTTAAGGTTTTGTAATGGCTTACCGTTCGCTTAATCATGATGTTAGGATGCTGATTCTTTGCATAAAGGTTCTGTAGGGGTCTAGCATTAATGTTGTTTAGTGAAAGTGGAAAATAATTTTAGTTTTTTTGAATTTTTGACATGTTTTGGACTTAACTATCCTGGCCAAAATCTTCAGGTTAAGGTTTGGGTTAAAGTTTTGTAATGGCTTACTGTTCACTTTATAATAGTGTTAGGATGCTGATTTTATGGACAGAGGTTCTTTAGGGGTCTAGCATTAATGTTGTTTAGCGAATTTTTCACATGTTTTGTGGCCAAAATCTGGAGTTTAAGGTTTTGGTTAAAGTTTTCTGATTCACCATTTACTTAATAATAATGGTGTTATGATTCTGATTCTTTTCATATTTAGGCATGGTCTTATTAGTCCCCTATCGGTGAACCCGGGGGGACTATAGGTTTTGTCTGCGTCCGTCGGTCCATCCGTCCGTTACCTTTGGTTAATGTTTTGGTTAAAGTTTTGTAATGGGTTACCATACACTTAATAATGATGTTAGGATGTTGATTATTTGCATAAAGGTTCTGTAGGGGTCTAGCATTAATACTGTGAATTGAAAATGGATATATCTTTTCAATTTTTGACATGTTTTTCACTTAACTATCTTGGCCAAAAACTGCAGGTTCAAGTTTGGGTTAAAGTTTTGTAATGACTCACCATTCACTTAATAATAGTGTTAGGATGCTGATTTTATGTACAGAGGTTCTTTAGTGATCTAGTATTAATGTTGTTTAGTTCGAGTGGATTTTTTGGGGGGTTTTGTTTTTTTAATTTTGACATGCTTTGGACTTAACTAGCTTGGCCAACATCTGCAGGTTAAAGTTTGGGTTAAAGTTTTGTAATGGCTCACCGTTCACTTTATAATATTGTTAGGATGCTGATTTTATGTACAGAGGTTCTTTAGGCGTCTAGCATTAATGTTATTTAATGACAGTGGAAAAATAAGTTTATTTATTTAGAATTTTTGACATGTTTTCAACGTAACTATCTTGGCCAAAATCTGAACGTTAATGTTTGAGGGGCCGGTAGGGGACATGTATTGATTCATCAATACCCACAGAATGCTTGTTTTTTAAGTCATAAACAAAAAAGATGAGTCCATGACACAAGATTCTGGTTTAACTCCTGAAGCATCATGCTTGAATATTATATTTCAGAGGGTGACAAGAAGGTGCGACACAGAATAGTGTATATCGACAAAGCCTTCGCATCTACTAATGTTATGGAGCGAGCCAAGAATACGAAGTTTTACAAGTTACTACTTCGCAACATTTTCTGTCGCCATAACTCAAAGGACCAGAGTTTGGATCAGAGCTCTGGTGTGGATGCAGCGTCGAAAAAAACAGAGGATAAAAGATCAAAAGGGGAGGGAAAAGAATCGACAGACAAACAAGCTCCTGTCTCACAGCTGGGAGACATCTTTGATATTGGCAAAGCTTCCATGGAAGAAGTGGAAACTTTCGGAACTTCAAGCTTTGAATCTTTTAAAACCAAAAAGAAAAGTGAGACGAGTAATACTCTAGGCAGTGAGAATAAAACATTTGGAGCAAGTGGAAATTCAGCTAAAATAGATAAAATAGGGAAAGCTAATCCGTCGTCTAGGAAAGTGAAACGAGATTCTTTCAACATATTTAGTGATGAAACTGTAGAGGATATTGAAACGTTCGGACTCAATATTTCCAGGGAGAAATCTACAAAGAAAATGTCCAGTTCTAAAGTGAAAAACAAGGAGATTGGACAAATTTCTGAAAACAACATTGTCATTGAAACTTCTGCGACATTGTCTAAAGCGACAGCGCCATCATCAACTGTTAGTTCAGATGTTAAACAGACGCCATCCTCACCAGTTTCACAGACACTATCCACTTCCACTACCGTGGTTACGGGATCCACATCAGCTGGTTCTGATTGTATAAGTTCTAATACAGATACTCCACTCAGCTCTGTTGGTAGGGAAACAGGTGATCATGTTGATATAGGAAAACTACATACTGTTGATATGGGAAAACTACATACACATCATGTTTCTATGGAAACACCAACAGAAAGTCATGTATCTATGGATACACCAACAGACAATAATGTTACTATCAAAACACAAACAAATTCAAATGTTACCATAGAAACACCAGAAGAAGGTGATGTTACCATGGAAACACAACCAGAATCTAATGTTACTGTGGAAAAATCAACAGAAGGTGATGTTATCATGGAAACCCCAACAGTAAGTCATGTTGCTATGGAAATGCCAACAGAAAGTCATGTTGCTATGGAAACACCAACAGAAAGTTGTGTTGCTATGGAAACACCAACAGAAAGTTGTGTTGCCATAAAAACACCAACAGAAAGTCATGCTGCCATAGAAACACCTACAGAAAGTTGTGTTGCCATAAAAACACCAACAGAAAGTCATGTTACTATGGAAACACATACAGAAAGTCATGCTGCCAAAGAAACACTTACAGAAAGTCATGTTGCCATAGAAACACCTACAGAAAGTCATGTTACTATGGAAACACATACAGAAAGTCATGCTGCCATAGAAACACCTACAGAAAGTCATGTTACAATGGAAACGCAGCCAGAATGTCATGTTACTATGGAAACGCATACAGAAAGTCATGCTGCCATAGAAACACCTACAGAAAGTCATGTTGCCATAGAAACACCTACAGAAAGTCATGTTACTATGGAAACCCAGCCAGAATGTCATGTTCCCTGGGAAAAACCAACAGAAAGTGATGTTTCTATGGAAACATTAGAAAATAATGTTAAAGTAGAAACAGGAGATAGTCATCTGAGTGATAAAATGTGTGTTAGGACTAATGGCCGCCAGGGATTGAAGGAAATGCCATATGCTCTTATTCCAATAGACTTGCCTGCTGGTGCTACAGCTCAAGGTACACAGGGGAATAGTGTTGCTATGGATGCAAACTCAAACCCTACTGATAAAACTGAACATGAGGTAATTATGGATGCCCCAGCCAGTCCTGTTTCCACGGAAACACCTTCTAGTCCGTGCATCACAGACTCTGCCTCAAGTCCATCAGAAGGAACGCTCGGCCCCAAAATAATCCCTTTGAGTGTTGAAAAACTAGCTCCTGAATCGTTTCACTCTCCAGACTTCAAAAGTTGTGTCCTGATTCCATTGGAGGGAGAAGGCAACATCAACGAAAACATCGTCATGGACCACACTCAAGGGAACAATGAGGAGACGGTCAGTAAAGGAACTGTCATTGTTTCTCCACCTCTGCCACAACGACGAAGTAAGGTTCGCAGGTCTACAACTGCTCTTGTTGTCAGTGACCTTGACAGTGACGATGATGAGAAACTTCTGATAGATGTGTCCCCTATTAAGGACAGTGAGAGTGAGAAAGCAGACGGACATTCTACGAAACCGAGTCAAGTCATCAAATCAAAGTCACAATCAAACAACAACGATTGTGGAAAGGCATTGGGAAAAAAGGGTTCATTTTATGAAAAAAATACTAACAAAGATGGCAGCGGATCGACAAGGGTCACACGATCTAGACAATCACTTGATACAATAATGGCACAAATGAAAAGCTCATCGTCAGTGATTGATAAACCACAGAGGAAGAAAGGTGACAAAATGTCTAAAAAGATGGATAGAAATGAAAGTAACAATTCCAATTGTGAATCAAGGAATGTCATAGAGAGATGTACAAGGTCAACGTCACTGAGTGAGACAAGTAGGTCATCATCAGAGGTCAAACCTGTTGAGGTGAAATCGGAATTTATCTCTTGTGATCAAACTTTACAAACAAGTAGCAAAGCAAAAAGTTCTGTACCAGAAAGTGACTCGGATTCCTGTTTCTCTATGGATGTGTCTGATGTGGATGTCAAAGATCGAGGTTCAAAGGTCAAAAGAAGGTCATCCAGACTTTCCACGGGTAGTAGCTCTTGTAGCTTGGAGGTCAAGAGCAGTGATAGGACTGTAAAAGCATGCTCAAAGGTCATGGCCTCTGACATTATTACAAACATCTGTCATGATGTGAAGAGTGAGGAAACTGAAGTACAGCCTGTTGTGGTAAGGAAAAGAGGGCGTCCTAGAAAAATACTGTCAGCTCCACCTTTAGGCTCATCGACTCATCTAGAAGAACCAAGGTGAGATAATTGTCTATCAATATCTCAAGATAACTAAAGGAATTTAGGCCAAAAAATTGTTCAGGTACCCTGGTTTTTATCACCGACCATAACAATTTTATTTCACTTGAATGCACTTAAACATAACATTTGAACATGCTGATAAAAAATAACGTCTTTATGACACCTCTTTATTGCATTCATCTAAGCCAAATTTATATCCCATATTATAAATAAAAAGACAGAAAAATATAATGAAAAATAATACAATTGGTCTGAATATCTATTTTTAATTACTTTTGTAATTTCTTGAATAATCCCCCCCCCCCCCCC